CTGACGGCACCCATTCACTGCAGACGATCCATTAGTGAGCAAGTATGTAATGCTACATTTTTTTCAAATCTGTTCCAATAAAGAAACAAACTCATCTAGGATGGCTTGAAGGTGAGTACATTTTCAGCAAATTTTAATTTTTGGGTGAACTGTTCCTTGAAGTTGAACCCCTATAATACAAAAAGTTATTAACCGTAATCGACATAGTTGACTGTAGGGTTTCATAATTATATAAAATGGAAAGGGATGGCCATAATGTTTTTTTTTTAAACAAATGTAATTTTGTGAACTCTACCGCTCCCAACCTTTTATTCAGCTACATTAGGATGTTTGAAAAAGTTTTGTGTGTGTGTCTGTGTGTCCCTCTCTATAGACTATTGACTGTGGCTCTGTGACTGTGTCTGAGCTGGAGTTCACTGTAGACTTTAGTCTGAAGATAACGGCCAGCACCTTCTGTACAGTGAGTAGATCCAACTTCTAACACAAACACACATTTACCAACAAACTGTGATTATTACCTGTCTTACACACACTTCAATCTTCAGAGCTAATCAAGGTTGTCAGGTGTGAAGATTAATTAGGGGTGGGAAGATGGATTGGCCATTTGATTGGATGGGATGGGTCAGGGAGCTCACACATCAGTCTGGTTTGATGGACAGACAAGTTTTCTTACAGGTGAAGGTAAAGACAGGCAGTGAAAGGTTTACTTTATTTCATGGCCTAAATTCAACCGCATGTCAGGTTATTAAAGGAAGATCTGAGACAAAAGTCATTATTTACTCACCCTTGTGAAATTTTTGAAATGTCAAGCTCCGTTTCAGGAACTTTTCATTGTTGTCATGTCTGTCAGGCTCCAAAAAGAACAAAAATAAAACATAAAACTTCCAAAAAAGTAGATTATATAGCTTGATCAAGTAAATGCAACCTTGGAGAGCATAAGAAACTTCTTTCAAAAAATCTTATAAACACCTAACTTTTTGAATGGTAGTATATATTCAAAGTAGGCTATATATTTCTCTTTTTGTCAATAGTCACTGAAATTCATCTTTTTAATATACATCATTTGAAAAATACAGTTGTCGATTCAACTTAATCAAGCTGGTGCAATGCAGTCATTTATGACACATGCGAGAACCAATGCCTTTTGGTTTTAAAAGAGTCGTTTGGACTATTTTTATAGTGTTTTTTGGTTTTATTGGATCTTGAACAGCCTACATTGTAGGAAACAGAGCAGCATGGGCATTCTTGAGAGTTTCTTCTTTTGTGCTTTTTAATAAAAATAGCATTATACAGGTTTAGAACACATGAGTGTGAATAAATCCATTTCTACGTGAACTATTCCTTTC